GCATTTATTTCTAGTTCATTGATTATATTCTCAAATGTACAATAAAAAAAGATTCTTATTGTTTTTAGAATAAGAAAATAGAATAGTTAATTATTGTATATTTGCTTCCTAATAATTCGAAAAATAATAAGAAAAGTAAAATCGAAGAATTTCAAATAAAGTTTGTAGCAATAATCATTGAAATGGAGAAAATCGTGGGATTTAATACCAGCGCAATTTAATGGGAATTATTTGAAAATTGAATCCTCGTACATCTGAAGGCGAGCCAGCGCATGCAGTGACACTGAATATAAACGAATATAAAAGACCTTGTTTCCCACTAATATTCCAGTTTCACACTAATATTCCAGTAGGACATTTTGCCAAACGTTTCTCGCTATGAGAACGATTTTGAAAATTAATTCGCGAGCAGGAACGAAAGTACTTATAGTTTACCTACTCTAATACTGTCGTCCGCCAAGTGAAGGATACAGAAGCAACCGCCGCTCACTTTCTGTTTTTCTCTTTTTTTCTCTTTCGTTTCCTTTTTCGCCCTTTCCACAGGAGGGGTTGAATTACCCTACTGTCCACCAACAAACCCCGCTGGAAAACTTGGCATAGTCCGGGCGCCACTATCTATTCAATTTTCGCAAAGTTGGCGAAGTCGTTGCCAGGAAAGCAGACCAACCAACCGGACGTTTTGTCTTTTCTCGCCTCTCGCGAAAGAAAGATGATAGAAGTCGCTTACAGAAAGAGGGATGGAAAAGAGAAAAAAAGAATATACGAGAGAGAGAGAGAGAGAGAGAGAGAGAGAGAGAGAGAGAGAGAGAAATGCGCGCTACTCATACAAACCGACTTCCTGGAGTTACTTATGGCATGAGATAGCGAGAAAACGCGTTTCTGTCCGCCAGGATGATTTTTCATTTTGCTTCTTGGTACTGCATTAACGTTTAAAGCGCATTTCTTATTGATCCATTTTCTCTGATTGCAGATTATATTTTTGTCTCTCACTATGTACTCATCAATTTTTATTTGTATGCGAAAATACTTTCGGATCCATCCGCGTGAAACATAATAGAAATAATATATAGCAGGGCATTCAATATAAATAAAGCTATAAACTTCAGTTGCGAAAATATCCTGAATGATCAATTTGTATCATACATACGAGGAATAAAGTAAAAATAATTAGAAGAAGAAATAATCAGTATTATTTTAGAATATTTTCTATATATTTTCGATAATACTTATTCATAAATAAATTATATGGTATCAATTGATGGATAGATTTATTGCAATGATACAATCTAACATGGAATAGGCAATCTTACGATGCACCGGGAAAAGGATCTACTCTGTTCTTGCGTAGAAGAAATTTGATCTTCCTATCCATATCCTCATTATAGATCGACTTGCAATTCTCATAGTTGATCCTACGTCTGACCTGAGTTGGTTTTTCATAATACCTCGTGCGCCTGTACTGTCCAAAGATGTCTTCTTTGGACAGTATGCGATTTAATAAGCGGCATGCCTTATCTACGTCATTGTTCTGAACAAAGATCGTTCGGCTGATGAATTGATGAATGTGCCGTGGAAGACCCATCTGGAAAATAATGTAAAAAGCAACTACGTTACCATACTTTTTCTCCATGAACATTTTACTTAACCTTTAAGTAGTTGCTTAAAGATAAACAAGTTGATAAGTGTTCAGAACAGAAAGTCTTTAATTTTATAATTAATTTTTTACTATTATGTTATAATTAAATTTATATCTATTACATTATTATAAAATAAAAATATTATAAAATAAAAATAGTGAACTAAAAATATAGAACTTTAAGACTTCTGAGCAATACTTTTTATTTTTACTTTTAGATTAAGATTTTAAATCAAGTACTATATCATCCTAAAGAGGTGATATTCATTTAAAAATTAAAGTTAGAGAATTCATTGTGTTCAGATCTCTTCATCAGAGAAAAGTAACAGAGAAAAGAAACAGTAGGACATAATAAATGCAAGTACATAACAAATGTTCTAAAAACATATTAAAATTAATAAAACGTTCAATAAGACGTTAGAACTTCTCTCGTTAGATCTATGAGTTTAAGATTATTGACAAATATTTACCGTAGTTCCGTTTTTAGGTTAGGTTACGTTACAAGCGATCAATCAAGTTCTGCGCAACTCGTTAATTCTGATAACAAAACACTTTCTGCGCATCCACCAAAGTTAATTACGTTTTTCACTGAAATATGCCACGACAAACCATTAATTCACTCACAAATTAATAGCTTGCACTTCAGAAATTAGCAGCTTCTTCCAACAAGAATTGTATGGCTAACGCCATCTAGCAGCCATTAAGGTGACTGACGTCACCTGTCATCACTCTACCGATAACCCTACCCTCAATTACTGATCATTTCCGGCGGATAATCGTAAAATAGTCGTAGATGTCCTAGAAAGACGACGTTCAGGAATGAGATAATAATAAAATAGGCCACCAGGCAATAGGTGATCTGGAAAGTAAAGACAATAAGCATTGCAATTCGCAGAAATCATTAAAAAATGTAAATAGGAGAAAAATCTCTGACAGAAAGTCGCGATGTATCCAAGGAACGCACTCAATACAAAATCAAAATAATTTTATTTTAACTAATTAATGTTAATAAACATCAAACCAAAAATCATCATTTTGACTTTAATAATATCGAAATAAAGTCATTTTCTCTTAACTTGGTGTGTTTCTTGAATACTCGCGCATAAATTACTTCTCGATCTTTCAGATTGTAGCCGAATCCCCATCGGCAAATGCAGAGCCAGACGCATAGTGACAGTAGGAATAAAATAAAAGCAAACGGAGAAGCATAAATATGCACGACGAACATTTGTCACGGCATTTGTCCTTCTCTATATCTTTTTCCTTTAACTCCTCCGGGCAATGCATATTTTCGCAAAGATCGTCGTGTCGCTTTCACCAAGCTCGAATTTGTTCAACAAGATTTCGCTCGTATCCATCCCGTGTCTGCAATTTTTCTTCCTAGTGAACAGCTTTGTGGTCGATTCTGTCAAAAAAACCCCGCGAAAAAAATATTTATTGTTTTATAAATCCCTATTGGCATATTGTCGATAATTCACGTGACATTTTCACGACATTAACTACGATCTTTCACGATGACCTTTTGGAAATAAAGATTCGTTTTATATTCTTGCATTAAATTATACGAGCTTTCTTTCTCGTCAAATATCAAAAAAATTATTTCATTTTAAATTTCAAAAGTTTAATTTACACTATATATAAGTTCAGCTATAGAAAACAGCTATGTTTAACTGAAAATTTTGTAAATATCCGTCAAATGGAAACTGACGTTTGCTTAATTTAAATGACAAGATTTCACAGAAGCAATAATTAATTGACATTTCGTTTCTGTTTTTTTCTTTGTGATATATTTAAAATTTCGTTATTTTTTATAATAAGGCAGTGAAATTGGCAGTGATTGTTTGATCGATAGTTCGCTGTAATAGCATGGAGAGATAGACAAGTCTTTTAACACATTTAAAAGACGAGTAAGAAAAAGATCCCTGTTTTTTCGATATTCTAAGATCCTGAGAAAGAATTTATCGCGAATTTAATGCTCGCAAAAGATGCCTCCAAAGAAGAAGAAAGAGATCGTGCCAAAAGAGGTTGTGCAGGAGTTGGAACGTACTGAGTAAGCAAACGGACACGAAATCACGTGGGGACGAATCATCCCAAAAATTTAGTTACGTTTTCGTTATTGTTGATTTTATATTCTACAGTTATTAATTATATACAATGTAATAATTTGTAAATAAATTTATAATGATTTTGAACAAGCTCCATTATATTTCGAATCTTTTATGTTTTTTTTTTTTTTTTTCGAAGATTAAGTGAAGTCGGATTTGGAATATCTTTTCACAAAAATAAATGTTGGATTAAGTGATATTAGGTCCGTTTATGTAGACCGGAAATCGTGGAGGAACCCGAACCGGAACCCCCGAAACAGATATCCTTGCTCACTGGTGAACCCTATGGACCTCGAATTCGTCTTGTCAGCGAAAAAGCCGAGGAGGAGAGCTCGGACGACGAGCCAGAATCCGAGGATGAGGAAGAGGCGAGGTATCAGGAAGATCACCTGGAAATGCCTTCCGAATTCTGGCATATACAGAAACTTATCAAATACATGAAGGCTGGCAATCAAACTGCTACCATAGTGTCCCTGTGTTTATTAAAGGATTATGATTTCACCAACAAGGTCCATTATATTTTTATTATAAGATTAAATTAGGCTGCAAGAAAAAAATATCATCTATAATGTTATCTAACAAAATCAATAATTCTAATAGATTTATTCTTTGCTTCATTTTATTCTCTTATTTACATCAATTTTTTTAATTCTTTAATTTAAAAAATAATCTCTCTTTTAAAAAATAATCTGTCTCTTTTGTATCTCATCCACACAATCGATTATTTTATAATAAATATATATATATTTATGAATAGGAAAATAGGTTAAACACGAGCTTCAAAAAAAGATGATAAAATTTATTAAGACATTAATCTATATTCATAAAAGAAATGAGAGTTTTTTACAATTATTAATACGTGGAACGTTTCGACTTTACTTAGTATCATCCTCAGCCATTACAATAATAAGTATTTGTATAAGATTAAAACATTATTAATAAATTATTATAGAAATAAAATTAAATATTGGAAAGAACGTAGAAAACTAATCAACGAAACCATATCAATTAATCATATCACACAAAGATTGGACAATATACTACAGTAAATAAATTATTAAAGTAAGTCTTTATGTAATAGTTGTCGAAACTTTCTTCGTTTAAAGATGAAAAAAAGTAGAGTCAAACGGATAAGATTTTTAAAGTCGTAAAGATAAATGAAATAATTAATCAATAATTAATAAAAGTCTTGAGATATATGTATAAATACAAATGTATAAATACAAATAAATTAAATTAAAAGTATTGCACCGAAAAAGGAGCTAATGTTTAAAAAAACTTACTTAATTTTTCAAGATATGAATTCTATAGATATAATATGTAGAGAAACATGTTCAAAACGGAAAAGGCTTCTTGTCAGAGCAAAAGCTTATCGATAAATGACAGAAATTGAAAACAGATATGTATTGTTATGTATAATATACGATACGTACAAAAGATCGATATAAATTAATGTTGTGAAAATGAATCTAATAAGTAAACATAAAAATCATCTAGTCTATTAGTGTCTTTCAAAATATATTTGTAATAGTGCAGATCATACAGAAGGCTATCCAAGAAATGGGAGGTCTCGAAGTTTTAGTGAATCTCCTCGAAACGAATGACATCAAGTGTCAGAACGGCTCGTTGTCAGTCTTATTACAAATTGCGACTTCCATGGAGATGAAGCGATATTTAATTGACTTGGACATTGCAACGCCATTAATACAAATGCTGAAGCATCCCGCCAGAGATATTCAGGTAGTTGACCTTTATCAAAATAGCTCCTTCAATTAATTAATCGGCCTAGTTTTATTCGCTGTGCGTGGAGTATTTAATTTAGAACAAGAAAACAATTAGAAAAAATTTATTCATATGATTAATAAATAAATAAAAATAAATATTTTTCTAATTGTTATATGATGAAAATATTAGCTGCGAACATCTTGGTGGTGTATGCCGTTAAGAGATTTTCTCGTTTTAAAATTTGATCACATATCGACTTTTATTATTATTTAATTTAGAATCCGATTGATTTGCCAATTAACAAAATGTTCGTCAAATTAAAAATCCCCTTAAAGTTCCAAACATCTTAAATCTAATTTTTCATTTATTTTTTCATACTTCATCGTGTTATAATGTTAATTTATAATTCTTGCAGATTTTGGCAGCCGAAACTATGGCCATTATAGCTCGAATTAGGAAGGCCAGAAAACAAATTAGAATTCGTGGTGGAATACCGCTCATCGTAAGTTATCCAATCACCAGTATTCAAATAAGACAAATAAGTTGTCTCGAGATTATTTCAAAATTGCTATGTATAAAATATTGAATCTCTAATATATACAAATGATGATATTCCGATATTATCGTTTTAATATATTACTTTACTCCACATGATAAATTATTCGTGTTCCAGATCAATTAAATTTCATCATTTTTATACAAGTGTTTATACAAAAATTAATTAAAAGTATATTTTACGTATACTTCAAAAGTATTATATTTAGAAAGTATTATATTTGTAAAGTTGTGTATTTAAAAACGGAAAAGAAAGAGCTATTATTTAGTATTTCAAAAAAAAAAAGAAAAATGACAAATGACCCATGAGTATTGAGAATTAAATTTTTTTTTTTCTCTCTTAATGTGAGCATGATGAATCTATTGATTCTTTTTGTTTGACAGCTGGACGTAATGGATGTGCCAGACGAAGTTCTTCGTCGGTCATACAATGAATTAAGCGAGGCCAGCAAAGAACTCGTGGCCGTCGCCATAGGTTGTGCCAAGGTTTTAGATTCTTTAGGCAGCAGTCCGAAGATCAAGGAGGAACTTCGTAAATATGGCGTTGTTCCCTTGATGTCGCGTTTTCTAAAATCGAAACATACTCAGTTAATCGTACCTACGATGGGCATCGTACAGCAGTGTGCTGATCTGGTTTATTGAATTTTATTCGTTATTAATAGTGTTAATTAAAATAATTTAATCTATCAATAAAATAATTTGAACAATCAATTTGAACAATATA